CCTAAAAAAATAAAATATATAAATAAGTGAAAATACGTCACTTAGAACATTTATAGGTAATTTTTGTTACTAACAATACTTACAAGGCGCGCTTGAGTCTCGCGAAAAGACAATGGACCACCGGTGTGCGTGGCGCTAGCAGGGGCATTCTCGTCACCGCCACGCCGATTTTTCTTGTTTTGCTTGGAGGATGCCAAGAACTTTGGTGACTTCCAATACTGTTTAACAACATATAAATACAAGAATACAAATATATACACACAATTTGATGCTAAGTATAACATAACTCATCAATTCAAAAGATATTTAGAAATACCTCCTTCCACGATTGCGGTACAAGTGGCTGCACCTTCTCTGTTCCTTTCTTCTCATTCCTAATAGATGAGAGCCAGTCGGTGTATCGTCTTCTAGCCTTCGATTGCCAAGCACGGAACATAACGCTATCATCAATGCGAGGGTCCCAAGTGGCATGTTTCTAAATTTAAAAAAAGAAGTTAGACCGGACATGTTAGAAAATATCTTAAATAAAATACAAAATATAGAAAGCATACATTTGATATTCGTATCTAACCAAATTTTACCTTAAACTCTCTCCAGTAAAAGTCCACAGTCACGTCGCTTAGGCTCTTCCAACTACCCTCTGTTGGATCGAGCCTCTGCTGGAATGTGGAACAAATGATCCGAGCTCCCTCTTCCGTGAAGACGACACTACATGATATTATAATTACAACATTATAATATATATTATAATCGTGTATACATGCAAATAATAAGATATATATGTAGAATCACCTGCCAGAGCGATCAAAGTATGCTACGCTCGGTCCAAGGTTCATAGCATCGTCATGCTCGTGCTCTATCGACTCGTCTGAGTCCATGCTCTCATCATCGTGCATCCTGGACTCATCAGTGGAACGTGTAAACCCTCCGGAAGAGGTGCTAGTGACATTCATGCCGTGAGGCCCAGTAGGCACTCTGACAGTGGCAGTACCTGATGCCCTCGCTGATGCGCTGCCTGAGGCGCTGGCTGATGCGCTGCCGGATGCACTCGCAGATGCGCTGGCCGATGTTCCGCTTGATCTACCACCACCAAGGATGGCATGTCGCAACCTAGAAAGTTCTTTCCACTTCCCAGTATTGGACTTTGTTTGCTCTGCGTGACCCTTACCCTTATCTCCACCAGCCATCTGCAAAGAAGAGTAATTAATTAGTAAAACAGTTAATAATATGAATACAACAATATATTTGTTCAACCACCTTTTGTATTAAAGTCTATTTTATGATAATTCATCATCGGACATGAACACATTTTCGCTAGAGCTCTCATCAGTAGTAATTAATATCTCAACATCATCACTTTCTTCGTCCTCACTATCATCGAGATCAATTAACTGTGGAACTTCTGCAAGTAGTGGAGCTTCCTCGTGCGGTTCAACTTCAACAATTTCGACTGCCACTCTTGCGTCTTCTTGGTACGCAAAATCGTCAGTACTCTTGAGCTTTTGTGTATCAGATGTGGTTTCAACCCAGCCACGTGGTTTTACATCACAAACAGCTAACCATTCTCCTTTTGCCCTACTAGCTACTCCAGGATACTCTACGTAGGCCACCTGCTTAGCTTGTGTTGCAAGGATGAATGGTTCATATT